GCTCTCGGACTCGACGAGGCGTCCGTGCGCTTCGAGAACAAGGCGTCGAAAGTGGCGTACATTTGGCGGCAATTCAGCGATTGTTTTGAAGTACGACTCAATCGACGCTCTCTTTAGTGACGCGTCGTTCAAAACAACACTTTTTTGCTCTCATTTCTCGCTTTCCGTCCGTTTGTCCCCTTTTTTAGTGTCCGCTCGTCTTCTGGGCTCCCATTCTTCCCGCGCAGACTCTGGCGCTCAAGAACTCCACGAATTCGGACCAAATCGTGGCCATCACTGCTCGCCAACCGGATCCGCTCTATTTGACCACAAATGAAGAGCTCTTCTGCCGCCAAACCTATTCACTGAGAGACCAATCCATTCACGACATCACGTATTATCTGTCGAGAGAACTCTTTCCGCAACTAATTGTCTCTCTCATCAGAATCACCGAAAATGGCGGCGCCTTTGAATGCGAGCACCGGATCGCTGACGAGGGCCGGAACGACATTTGGCCGCTTGTGGTGGCCGTCGGGGTTTACGTGACGTTCGCCGCCGTTTTCTACGTCAGCAGAAGACTGTTCCGAAGATACCGCGAACGCAACGCAATGACAATAACGACGGATCCGACGCCACTCTCGACCGACGAGTCGAAGGCCGCGGACGACAAGAAACGCAAACGACTCAAGTCTTTGGACTGCTTTCGAGGGTAACGGCGATTGTCGATAGTATCGGTGGTCTCAAGCGGTCTGTCCTTAGGATCACGATTCTGATGATGATATTCGTGAATATGGGCGCCGGTGGCTACGAATACCTGGACCACGCGCACTGGGATGGCTTCAACTTCGCGGACATCATCTTCCCTTGGTTCATCTTCATTATGGGCACTACGATGGCCATCAGGTCTGTCCTCTAACCGCCCGAAAGGCCGTCTCTAACCCCCAATCCGTCCGCAGTCTCAAGAGTCAAGTCGTTCGGCAGAAGACTCCCGTTTGGCGCCTCTATTACCAGATCTGCAAACGCGCGCTCACGCTCTTCGTCATCGGACTTATCCTCAATTCCAACGGAAACGGTTTGTTTGTGGCTTCACTTCCGCTCCTCTCTCACACTCTTCCGCTCTTTCAGCCAATTGGAAGACTGTTCGCATTCCCGGAGTTCTGCAGCGCTTCGGAATCACGTATTTGGTCGTCGCGTCGGCGCACGTCGTCTCTCTCCGCCTCCATAAGGGAGAACTCTTCGGCGCGCGTCCGTCTCCCGTCCCCTCCCTGTCCTCCGCCACCTCTAACCCCCTTTTGTCTCCCTCAGTGCGCATCCACCAGTTGGTAGACGTGATCCCCTATTGGCCAGAATGGATTGTCATGTCTTTCACGGCTTTACTCCATTTCGTCCTCACTTTCGGCTGGAATTTCGACGACAAGTGTCCGAAAGGATATATCGGTATTCCTTGCCCTCTGTCTTACTGCTAACCTAACCCCTCCCTCGCGCGCAGGACCGGGCGGTCTGGCCAACAACATGTCGCACGTCCACTGCACGGGCGGAGCGGCCGCTTATATCGACCGCTGGCTGTTGGGCGAGAAACACCTCTACCCCTACTTCACGGGAAACCGTTTATACGATCCCGTCGGACAGTTCGGTCTCCTCCACGACCCCGAAGGCGTCCTCGGTCTGTCTTTCCTCCCATCCCGCACTCACTAACCCTCCCGTCCCTCTTAGGCACCACCACTTCCATTCTGTTGACGTTCTTCGGCCTCCAAACGGGCAAAATCCTGATCGCGTATCCGAGTCCTAAACAACGGATCGTCCGATGGCTCTCTTGGGCCACAATTCTCGGTAAACCTCTTCTTCTCCTCTCTCTCTCTCTCTCTCTCTCTAACCTCTCTCTTCAGGCGCGTTGGCGGCGCTGTTCGCGGCCACGGGCTGGATCCCCATCAACAAGAACTTGTGGTCCTTCTCCTTCATATGC